ATAGCCCAATCCTTGAGAAACAGATTTAATCATAAACAGAATTGAACCTAGTTTGTCTTTACTATAAAATGGTTTTTAAGAGTAAGATGGAACAGGCTGGTTCTTCACCACCTCTCCAGCCCCTTCTGAAACAGTCTTATGCAGCCCAGGCTGGCCTCAAACTTGCTATGCAGCTGAAAATGACCTTGCACTTCAGATCCTCCTGCCTCTGCTTCCTGAGCGCTGAGGTTACAGCAATGTGCCAGGATTGCGTGGTGCTAGGTTGAAGCTAGACCTCCGACCATGGTAGGCAAGCCCCTGACCCAGCTGACTCCATCCCCAGCCATCCCTGACATGCTTGTTTGTTTGGGGACTGAATCTCACTATGTAACCCTGGCTGGCCTGGATCTTACTATATAGACTAGGCTGGCCTTGAACTCACAAATATCCAACTGCCTCTGCCTCCCAAATGCTCGGATTAAGGGCGTGTGCATTTATATAAGCTTATATAAGACACTTTTATAAGCCATGAACTATCACTTTTTAAAGCTACTTTTGATTAACTCTTTTAAAATGGGCCTGAGATGCACTTTAGTAGGGGATGTTTGTTTAGCATATGTGAGATCTTGTGGGGTTGATTCTTAGCACTGGAAAAAAAAAAAGCAAAGCATTTAAAAACCGTTCTTAGTTGCAGGCTAAACAAAAAGAGGCTAAGGACCAGCCGGCCGGGGGGATGCCCCGGGGTATGCTCCCACGTGCGCTGTGGTTGACTTCACTTCTATCCTACTACCTGACCCGGCAGGAATTAAGATATTTTGAAGAGAGATTATTTTGGCTATCAGACTGTTCAAACAGTAGCCCCCCCCCCCCCAAGTGATTCAACTCGCCCAGGAACCTCATGCTGGGAGAAGAGACAGCTTAAAGCCTAGGCCAGCCAGGGGAAAAGGGACTCCTGGTTAGATAGACTACCACTGCAGAAGAAAAACAATGATGATCAGTTGTGGGCAGGGAACACTTTAGCTGGGAATGCTTAGATATGCAGATCTATTTTAACAGAAATCTTACTTGATTTCAGAAATCTTCGCCCTGAAGATAGATTTGGAGAGAAAGGGGTCTCTTTACTCCTTCCCCCCCTCCAATGTGACCAGACTGAATACATCTTCTTTTTCCACTTTTTACTATTAAGTTTTGTTGTTGTAATCTTGCTGAGGCTGGGTGGCTGAACCTGGCTTCCTGGGGCGCAGACTGTGACCTGCCCTTTGGTAACATCCCGAGGGGTGCTCCAGAGCAACAGGAAGTGATCGCTTCATGGCTGCTCCGTGAGCATGCCATAGCTGTGGACTGAGCCTTCTGCTCGTTTTCAGCTTTGTTTTGAAATCATCAACAAAGCTACAACGGGCAACCTCGTACGTGGGTGAAGTTTTGCAACCATGGGATTTAATTCTGTGTGTGAAGTGAAGGCTATGAGTATTTATATTTTTTTCTGTATAGCGACAAGCTGTCCGGAGAGGCAGAATTTACTTCCTATGCTATGACCAAGGTCCTCCTTTCTCATTTCCAGCCCCAGATGTCCTGATGGACATGCTAGAAACTTTCTTTCTGTAAACTCAAGGACTATCACAACTCCATCTGAGGGGGATATTCCCTTTGGCTCAGTCCTGCTTCCACTTGCTCTGAAAAGCAACTATGGTGTCTGTCTTGTTCCCATCACACTAGTCTGAAAGGTTCGAGCCAGACTTCCCACCAAGGTATAAAAATTGAGTTGACAATCTGCTGTTCAAGTACGTGACAATTAAAGGTTTGCAAAACATTCTCCTGGGGTGACCTTTGTCTTGGTCCCTTTTGCCTTCGAATCTAGAATCTTCTAATACCAGTGCCAAAGAGACCCTCAGGAGAGATCCTTGTCGACCTGCCTCCTCTTCACTGCACGGAAAACTAAGGCTGAGAAAGGAAACAAAACTGGAAGTGAATTGGCTCAGGGTCCCAGTGTCAGGAACCCGCTATGCCTCCTCCCTCTTGTTTAAAGACTGGCCTCACACTGGATATGTAGCTGAAGACGAGCTTGACCTTCTGATTTTCCTGCTTCTGCCTTCCCTGTGCTGGGACCGCAGGCTTGTACAAGCACACTTGGTTTTCTGTGGGCTGGAGATCACGATTCCCAGGACTCTGTGCACAGTAGCAAGTAGTCAACCACCGGGGCTACATTCTAGACCGTATTATTTTTCTGAAGCAGGGTCCTCATCCTCCTGCCTCCTGGCCCCAGTGCTCAGCTAACAGGTAGGTGTTACAGTAAGAGGGGTCCTTCCCAGCCCAGTAGTGGCACTCCTCTGCCTCACAAAAAAGGCTCCTCGATTCCTTTGCTGGTGACTTCTCTTACCTATTTATGTATGCGGTCATCAGCTAAGGCCAGCACTTACCCTGCTTACTCTGATCTCTCTGGCCTACCTGTAGTGTGACAGCACAGCCTCCAGGTCTGTGGCTCTCCCAGGACACCTGCACATGCTGGCACACCAGCTGTGTGTGTCTGTAGAATGGCCAGCTACCTGCAACCCACACCAGATGCTGACTGACTATTCATGAGCTGACTGTCCCGAGGAGAACTGAGGAAAACCTTGTTCACATGAATGATCGACCCAGCAAAGAGCTGAGAGTGACTGCTCCAAGGGACCGAGACCTTGATAGAAAAGGGGCATTGGGAAGCCCAGTTCCCAAGGGAAGGAACTAGAAGGAAGAATGCTGGGAAGGGAGAGACATGCCCATCAGACAAGCTAGGGGCCACATCTACAGGGCATTTCATTACCAACACCTCGAAGCCCTACCGGACAAAGCTTGGGTCAGCTAGCTGCCAACCTTCAGGATGAGGCCATGGGGACCCTCACAGATGCAAAGGTTGTCATTCCAAGGGCTTTTCCCATGTTGGTGTCTCAGCAGCCTCTAAACTTCAAGGCATGTGCCAGCCCAAAGGCCCTGACATATAGCAGAAGAGAGGTGCCAGGCAGGAAACACGCACACACTGTTAGAGGCTCCCACGTGCCAAGCTCTGTGCCATGTTGCTGTCAAACTGAACCATCTGCCCTCCACCTCCACACCTGGGGTGATGGGCAGGAGGAATCATCCCTACTTGGAAACCAGAAAGGCCAGCTCTCAAGTCAAACGAAGGAGAGGCCTCCACAGTTCAGTGCCCTCTGGCTGCCTCACTTGGGCTCCAACCCCAGCCAGAGAAAGAACGGCCAAGGCCTATTCCAGACACAGCCTGTCCTCCCTCCCAGGGGCCCAGGCTAAAACAGCCTGGGGTAGGTGGAGCCACTACCCTGCAGGCAGCCCGTTCCTCACACCCCCACACAAGCGTGGGCTGAGAGGAAGTGGTGGTGTTGCCATTCCTTGTGCTCTGAGGCTGCCCATCTGTGTCCTGGGATAGGACTCCCTACCCCCATCCTCCTACCCGGAAATTCACTTGCTCTGGGGCTATGGGAAAAAGAACTGTTCGAGTGCCTTCTCCCCAGGGGGCAATGACAGCACCAGAACCCCTTTCCAGGCCTTCTTCCCTCCAGGCTCTATCTGACCAGCTTCTACAGCTCTGGGGCACATGAAGCAGAGAGCAGCCATGAGAGTCTCTCTGCTCCTGACTGTGGCATGGTTGGCATCTTCATCACTTATTTTAGCCTGGGGGCAGGGAGGGACTTGGAGAGAGGAGGTAAAAGTTGGTAGAAAGAAAAGAAACAAGCCCTTTCCAGTCCTGGACTGGAAGGACTCACAACAGTCATCTGTGTGAGAGAAGCGCCCTCTGCTGGACATGCAGGATACAGCCACCTAGGCGGCCCCACTTCAGGGGCTATTCAGACACAAGGAAAACGTGCCTTGACGTGTGCCCCCACCAAACTAGTGTTGGGTTAACACAAGCAGTGCCCACCCAGTGCAGCCTCTGGTCTATGTCAAATGAGTTTAAAAGGAAATAAAACCACCCAGGTGGCCGCCGGGGCAGTGGTGGCACACGCCTTTAATCACAACACTTGGGAGGCAAAGGCAGGTGGATTTCTGAGTTCGAGGCCAGCATGGTCTACAGAGTGAGTTCAGGACAGCCAGAGCTATGCGGAGAAACCCTTGAAAGACCTCTGGTCTTGAAAAAAACAAAAAACAAACAAACAAACAAAAAACAAAAAAAAGAAAGAAAAGAAAAAAGAAAAGAAAACCAAAAAAAGAAAAACCACCCAGGCTGGGACAGGCAGAGAAGGTGTGAGTGAGTGAGTGAGTGAGTGAGTGAGTGGAGGGTTTGTACAGACTTGAAAAGTGGAGAGAAAGAGCAGTTATATGCAGGAGGCAGCCCACAGCAACCGTCACTAGATGGAACACAGGAACAGCAGGAGGCCACAAAGACCCACAGAGGATTCTGGGGAAGTGAGGTATCTAATTGCTGGAGCTGGTGATATTTCAGTCTTTGAATTGAATCCTCATATATAAAACTAGTCAGAGTTGAGGTGGCCTGGCTAAGAACAGAGGGTGAAAAAATCTCCCATCCCACCACACAGTAGTGGCTTCTGGACCATCTGTGAACACTGGAGGGACTTGGGTTTGAAGCAAGAGGTACAGGCAGTGCGCAGCCCCTGGGGCTCTCAGTGTGTTTGAAACAAGCAATGTATCTAACAAGGATAGAGAGCTGAGCCTCAGAGTTCAGGGAGGGATGAGTGCGGGAACAGGGGTGCACAGGGAGCTAAGACCCTTCTGCCCTTCTGCAGACCACAGGACATCATGGACCCTCAGGGTCAGTGTATGAGGTCATGGCTCCCTCTCCCTGACTTCTCACGCCCCGCCTACAGTATCTCACTTAATCTAGCTTCTGCTTATCTTACACTCTAGTCTGTCTCCTGTGTGCCTCACATACCAGCACACACAGAAGATCTCCATCTATACACACTAGGATTAAAGGGGAAAAAAATCCCATGTGCTGCAGAGATGAGTTGGCCCCAGAAGCTGCAAGTCCTTAGTGCCAGACGCCACTACACTTATCTTGAGAGGATACTCACCCCAGGAATGTCCAAAAGCTTTGATACCAGAAGAGGCAGCTTCAGAGCGGCAACGCTTCCAGTGACACCCACAAGGACATGGAACTTTCTCTCCACTGAGGGTATGGCAGCGGGACATGGGGCCTTCCGTTCCATGTGGGGTCTGGTGTCTTTCTGGGGTCTGAGGAAGTCTGGATTTAGAATTTAAAACAGAATAAAGGGCATCATCCTCTTCATTCACACAGTCATATAACAAGCAGCATGTGGTATGCCCTAGGCCTTCTAGATGCTGGGGCTGCCATGGGCTTTAACAGTCCCAGCTTCTGGGAGCACATAGTATGACGACCAAATCGAGCCTCCTCTCCATAGAATGCTGCAAGAGCCACACACCTATGCCATGGCTGCCCAGGGGCTGTCTCAGAGATAGTGTCACATAAAGGTACACATTCTGGCTGAATCTGAAGGATGAACACTTTTTCAGGCAGAAGGATATGACTTCAAATGGAATAATCCCGCAAAGTGGAGGGGTCTGAAGGAGAATGGCAGAGAACACAGTGTAGGTTAAGAGAGAGGCTGAAGAGTCCTGAGGAAGGGTAGGATGGGCCAGTCAGGCTGCACCGTCAGATCTGGGCCAGAATGTCAAGGGTGATGAGAACCTTGTGCTCTGTTATGAGAAAGTGACGTCGGCACTGGTGATGTGCAGAGAGGCCATGGTGAGTGGTGGAGACTGGGGAGTTACTGCGGTGTGCCAGGCTGACTGCTGAAGCAGATAGAGGCACTAGGACAACAGTGAACTAGAACCACAGACAAGGAGGGTGCTGCTAGAGACCGGAGACTCGCCTCTGTAGGCCTGTCCCATCCTTGGGGACCAGGCTGAGCTCCAAAATACAAACTGACTTCTAAGAGTCAAATACAAAGCAGTGAGCCACTCCACAGAAGCAGCTGACTGGGTTCCTCCTCTGGCTTGTGATGCTGTGGCTGACACATCAAAACCTCTACCCTGGCAGCTGGACCAGCACACTTCCATCAGCCACAGTCACTGAGGACCAAATCCTGGGCAGAGAAGCGTGGAAGATAGCACTGCTGCTTTTACGGACTCTGTGGGTAGCTTAGGATGGCCCTTTTCTCCACTGAACCTTTTCAATGATCCCTCACCATGTAGATGTCAGTTTATTTTGCCTTTGCTTCTTCCCTTACCAGCAATCTCCCTGATGATAACCAGATTAACCACCAGCCACCTCTTCCCTCACTATCTCAGTCCTGATGGTCTGCTGGATGAATAAGCAGTGCACTATACCTGCCCTGTGATGCAGGAGTCCCGAGGTCTGCCCAAGGCTATACTCCTGACCTGGTGTGTGATCTTGGACCAGGATCATTCTCCCTCAAAACTCTTTACTCATATGAAAGACATAGGAACAGTTGATTTCTTTCTTTTTTCTTTTTTTTTTTTTTTTTTGGTTTTTCGAGACAGGGTTTTTCTGTGTAGCCCTGGCTATCCTGGAACTCACTCTGTAGACCAGGCTAGCCTCTAACTCTCGAACTCAGAAATCTGTCTGCCTCTGCCTCCCAAGTGCTGGGATTAAAGGCGTGCGCCACCACCGCCCGGCAGAACAGTTGATTTCTGAAGCCTCCTCCAATACAGCCTGAGTCAATACAAAAGTCAGTGGTAAGTGGCTCTTTCTACAAGACAAAGTATCCCAGAAGACACACTCCAAAAGTTCAAGGTCAGCCATAGAAAGAGAACCCAGTAGCTCCAGCTCCCTCTGTGCCTGGGTAACCACAGGAGCCTCTCTGTCGTTTGCCTGTAACGTTTAGGCATATATCTCTAGGAGCTGAGGTGATGCTGGGTACCCTTCTCAAAGGGGTTAAGCACAGATTAGTTCCCTAGGCACAACTCCCACCCGTAAAGTTCACCTTGCCAGCACTTTTTAAAGATTTACTCTATATATTTACTGTTCGTGTGTATGGACACTATTCATGTGTGTGGTATTTTGACCGCACGTATGTCTGTGCGTCACTTGTGTAAAGTACCGAAAGAGGCCAGAAGAGGGTGTCAGCTCCTCTAGAATTGGAGTTGTAAGTGGTTATGACCTGCCACACGGGTCTAGAAAATTGAACCAAGATCCTCTACAAGAAAAGAGCTCTTACCCACGGAGCCTTCTCTCTACCCAAGCCCCACCACCAATACTGAATCCTTGCCACCATTCGGAGCCTCAACCAGGACCAGGCTTGTTAGAGACATGAGCCCACCCAAAGTCTGAGGAGTACTGGTTAACAACTGACAAAGGCCATGGGACCTACTACCAGCTTCTCCCAGAGCACATCATCGGTAGCTGAGAGACATGTTTGTGTTTTGTTGTTAACTGTTTTAAATCATGTGTGTGCATATATGTGCCCTTGAGTGCAGATGCTCTCAGAGGCCAGAGGCATCCAGTCACCTTGAGGTTGGAGTTCTGGGCAGTTGTGAGCTGCCTGACATGGTGTGCACACAGGTGACAGGTGGGTCCTCTGCGAGACAGTACAGGAGCCACTTCTCCCGTTCCATAAGAAGCACATCCATCTTATTTTTTTCTATTTTTTGGTTTGGTTTTTCGAGACAGGTTTCTCTGTATAACAGAGCACTGACTATCCTGAAACTCACTTTGTAGACCAGGCTGGCCTCAAACTCAGAGATTGCTTGGCTGTTACTATGAGATTAAAGGAATGAGCCCCGATGCTTGTTGAAAAGCATTTTTGAATCTCCAGGAAAACGTACCTGTCAGTCCTCAAACCTCGACCCTGTGTCCTTCTTCAGTCAAATGATGCAAGAACAGAAGAGCCCTGTAAAACAGACTCACGATTTCATGTGTAGTCCCTGAACCTCAAGAAGATAACATTCCTAAGGGTCATGTTCCAGAAAGCTGTCCGTTAAACTGGAGGCAGGACTCTACTGCTCACCTCAACTCTTCTCCACAGAAGGCATTGTGGCCCAAGAAACACTGTTTGTTCTTAGAATCAAGCTTTACTCAGGACCAAAACCTTTGTTCTTCTTGTGGGGATCAGAGTGGGGGAAGAGACAGAGACAGAGAGAGAGACAGAGACAGAGAGAGAGACAGAGAATAGAAGGCAGATTATGTAACCCACAATTAGAAGTATGGTCATATGTGTTCACCCTGAGTCCCAGGGAAAGTGGCAGCTAGCAAGAGTTTGTTTGCTTTCCAAGATCAAATTCCAAGCCAATTTAGTCTTGTCCTCCATCTGGATCCTATTTAAGACTTTTAAATTTTTTATTCATTAACACAGTCAGGGTGACTATAGGCAGCACCTTACCTCCTTGGCTCAGAGAAGAGTGGACAAGCAGGCAGCGGGTTCTGACTGAAAGGCTGTGACCCCTGAGCTCAGGAATCGGGGCTGCCAGTCATGCAGGTAAACCACAGCCAGAAAACTGCCCTTTCTCTATCCTTCAGAGAGACACGAAGACCCTCTGCTTATGTAGTAAACATAATTTCCAAACGACAGTAGCAGGAGAGAAACTTTTTTTTTTTTTTTGGTTTTTCGAGACAGGGTTTCTCTGTATAGCCCTGGCTGTCCTGGAACTCACTCTGTAGACCAGGCTGGCCTCGAACTCAGAAATCCACCTGCCTCTGCCTCCAAAATGCTGGGATTAAAGGTGTGCGCCACCACCACCCGGCCCGTAGAAACAGTTCCTATCTGTGCTTCTCCAGCTGGTTAACAATGTATCTCTTCTGATGTTTTGGGGCATGAACTTTCCAGCACAATTCCTCTGGCTCTGGCAGGCAGTGAGGACGGCGGATCACCCTCCTAACCACAGAGCTCACTGGTTTGTTCAGAGATAAGACTGTACATGGTGGCATTCCCTGACCTACCTGGCTTGTCCAGAAGTGTCCAAGAGCTGAACATCATATCTGAGTCTCTCCCACCACTACTGACCCTCCCAAAAAAAACCCAAAAGACAAGCTTATTTTATCATGCGGTTCAATGTTCCCTTTAGACCTCCAGGATCAAGTTTGACTCACTGTTGGCCATCCTTGGACTTCGGATACATAGTAGTTCTGTGCTAGCCAGGGCTACACAGTAAGACCCTGGGGGTGGGGTTGTGGGGATGGAAGAAAGGGAGGGAAAGAAGAAGGAGAAAGGTAAAGATAGAAATAGAGATAGAGATGAGAGAGAGACACAGAGAGAGAAATTTAAGAGAGACACAGAGAGAACACACACAGCAGAGAAAAGGGCCTCGGTGTGTGAATTGTGTAAATATAATTTTCCTTCTCTCAGTTTAATCAAGGACAAAGTTTAAAATTTCCATGTATACCTACCAGTAACAAAATGGGCAAGAATGTAGCCAAGAAAGTGTGACTGCACTGCACCTAAGGAATGCTGGGTGCAGTCAAAAGGCCTGGCATGCTAATGGACTTCTCTCAAACCGGAAGTAAGTATGCTTGACTCTAAAACTACTGCAGTTTCATTTGTACACCTCTTGAGGGCACGTCAGGAAGACACATCACAGTCGTGCTGGGTCCCAACTGCTAGAGAGAAGCAGAAGGCCCCAGCTCCCCCTCGGCAAGTTCAGGGTTTAGACATCCAAACACTGGGGAGTTCTCCTTTCTCTCGCTTATTACTTTAAAATACAATTTGAGGCAAGCAGGCTCAGTAAGGTAGCTTGCAGCCAAGCCTGAGGACCTGGATTCGAGGGCGGAACTTACAGGGTAGAACTGAGTCCTGCAAATTGTCCTATGATCTCTACATGCACGTTGTGACAGCCACCCTTCTTACAAAATAAACGTAATTAAAAAAAAAAAAGTCTGCACTTCGGGACGCTCCTAAATCTTTCGGAGGGACATCTTATGCTGCAGTTTTTCAAAGGTAAGCGTCAAGTGTGGGTGTCCCGACTGCGCCACCTTTTAAACTAGATTCAACTCTGGTCAAGGCTAGAGCGTGACGTCAGCAGGCACAGGTGCAGCTGCACGGCCCCCAACTCCGAGACCGGGGTCACACCTTTAGCCTCACGTCATGCACATTACACAGCGATCCTCACGTGGAACCACAGCAGCCAGAGGAGCTTCTCCCACCGCCCCACCCCGCGGGACCAGGGACACAGCTTTCCCGCCCCTTCCACTGCTCACCAGCTCCAGGGTACCCCCCAAGTATCGCGGTATCTAGGCGTCTTTCCGGCTCTAAATGACTCGAGAGAAAGCTAGTGATCGCATGGCCTTCTGGGAGTCGTGGTCTAGTTCTGTGGCTTCTGGGAGTTGTAGTCACTGGGGCTCCCAGTGCAGGATTTAAGCCACATAGGCAAGGAAGCTGTGTCATTGAAAGGGTCACTTTGGCTGGGCAATGGTGGCGCACGCCTTTAATCCCAGCACTTGGGAGGCAGAGGCAGGAGGATTTCTGGGTTCGAGGCCAGCCTGGTCTACAGAATGAGTTCCAGGACAGCCGGGAAAACACAGAGAAACCCTGTCTTGAAAAACCAAAAGAAAAAAAAAAGGTCATTTTGAGTAATTTAAAAAAAAAAAAAAAAAAGAACTCTGGCTGGTCTGGAACTTAGAAATCTGCCAGCCTCTGTCTCTTAAGTGCTGGGATTAAAGGGGTATGCTACTGTGCCCATTGCTACTTGAGAGGAATCTTGAGGGATGACCAGCACAGAGGATCTGGACAGCATTCTTAGAGGGTGAGGGCACATCTCCAGCAAATTTGAATCACTGTAGTCATTACCCTGCAGGAATCGTAAGTCTCAAGAACTTCCATGTTCATTGCGCCTCCTCAGTCAGCCTCAAGAGACCCACCATGGATGCTGAAGAAGGGCCTGGCTTCTAGTCCTACCATTAAGGGCTCTATGGTGGTTTGAATATGCTTGGCCCAGGGAGTGGCACAATTAGGAGGTATGGCCTTGTTGGGGTGGGTGTGGCCTTGTTGAAGGAAGTGTGTCACTGTCGGGGTGGGCAAAGAGTGTTTCTTCCTACCCGCCTGAGGCCAATCTTCTCTTGACTGCCTTTGGAATAAGTCGTAGAACTCTCGGCCCCTGTAGCACCACGTCTGCCTGGATGCTGCCATGCTCCCTTCCTTGATGATAATGAACTGAACTTCTGAACTTGTAAGCCAGCCCCAATTAAATGCTGTTCTTTATAAGAGTTGCTTTGGTCATGGTGTCTCTTCACAGCAATGGAAACCCTAAGACACAGGCACCATCAGGCCATTCCCCTTACTCAATGTTACAGACCGCTCCTTTTTCTTAAACTGGTAGTCGTGGTAACTACTTCCTGGCCTACTCAAGCCTGCTTCAGAGGAAGGACCACAAAGTGGCATCACAGAATACCAGGACACAGGTCCACCCAACTCAGTTCTACTCCCCTGCCTCACACCCCACCTCCTGGCTCTGTTGAGACCCACATGGAGACAAGTGACACAACAGAACAGACAGGGTCAGATGATCCCTTTATTTTGTTCGTCCAGTTACACAGACAGACACTGGCTCAGGCAGCTCAACTGCCAATGAGGGGATAGTTTGTGTCTCTCAGAAACAAGGGGCAGTGGGCACCAGGAGAATGCAAAAGCAGGCCACTGGCTGGCAACAGACAGGAGGATCCCCAGCATCGACTGGGCTCTCCCACCCCTCAAGCAAACCATCTGTGCCCAGCCCCATTTCTCATCTTGGGCCCCTCCTCGTGAAAGTGCATAGTTGCCTGGAGATACAGCATCCCAGTGCCTGAGCAGCTGGGCCAGACACTGCTAACAGGCTTTCCCAAGGGCAGTGCCAGGGGTGGCCAATAGGTCTGAGCCAGGAAAGAGGAGAGGCAGATAGGACAGGAAATTGACTGGGGGTAACATCCAACAGCTTGTGGATGCCAGGCTGGCAGCTGGATCACAGCCCTCCTGGAAGTACCAGAGGACTAAGAGAAAGGAAACCAGGAGAAGGGAAGAGGAAGAGGAAGGGCCTAGCCCTAGAATCTCTTAGGGTAGCAGGAGCTATGACAACTGCCATCCATAGAGAAAACAGTAAGAAAGAGAATTAACTAAGCCTAGGGAGGCAATAGGAAGGGAACTTTCCAGACACTCTTTGTTTCTCTTACAGGAAGAAGATAAAAATCAAAGTTCAAGGTGGCCCACCGGTCTTAGGGTCCAAGGCAAACCAACGTGAATAGTTTTCCAGTCTCCCTAGCCCAGGCGCGTTTCTGTTGCAAGGAGATGAGAAAGAGCCGGCTGCTCCTTGGGAAGGCCCACCCACCTCAGGCCTCACACAGAGTGGGATATGCTACCAGACAGTGTCCACGCACTGCTTGAAAGATGCAGTCCCAGGATCAGTCTAGAGAGAGATGAGAGTTCTGAGAGGATGAAGGAAAGGCCGGGAATCAAGTCCCGCCGTGCTCTTGAATGGAAGGGGGAGGGATGGGCAGAACCCACTAAACTAAAAACTAAAGGCAGAGCCCTCCTGCTCTTCCTCCCTGTCAAGCAGGAAAGCTATTCAGGACATTGTGCTTGCAGCTTGAACTGGGCCTGGGAGCACCTCCGCAGAATGTGTCCTATAGCCAGGGACAAGTGAGACTGGAGAGGTGAGCCGCCCTCTCAACGGGTCCTATTTGACTTCCCTAACTTCTATCCTTTCTGCCAGATTCAAGTAGAATAGCTACTCCTTCCAGGAATCCAGTGGTCACTCTGAGGAGCTAGAAGCCCTTTAGGGCTGGGGCCAGCCACGCCTTCCCCAGGGACCAATGATGAGCTGCGTGCCCTCTGTTCCACCACTGCCTTTACACCTGCAAGTGCCTCATACAACCCAGCATGAAATGCAGAGCAGCTAAGGTGGGTCTGGGCAGAAAGGGATGGACGCCAGGAGAGGGAGAAGGAGAAGCCTGCCTCTGCAGGCCGGACTTTCAGAATCAAGGAGACCAGCTCTGCATTTCCATTCCCTGGGTTGTCAAGTACCAAATGGGCTCTGAATCCCCAAGCTGTGTGCCCCTTCCACATAAGGGTTGGCTCAGCTCCTGCGTCAGCTTCCTGGAACTGGGGAGTGGATTTGGGGGGATCTGGGCAGTCTTAAAAGCAGACATAACTGAGACACTCAGCCTTAGAGGAAGACAAAGAAAAGCGACAAGGGGAGGAAAAAGGTCACGGGAGAGCCAGCTAGGGAAATGAGCATGAAGAATCTCACAGTGAGGGAGAAACAAGGGGAGGAGGAGGATGAGGGAGGACTACAGGGAGCACGGGAACGTCCTCTCCGTCCCATCCCCTAGAACCTGCCTATCACCATGAACGCTAATACTATTGCTTCCCAATGGGACTAAAGGCAGAAATAGCTTAGGTTCATAATCCTGCACAAAGTATCAGGCTCTCTGCTAGGCCTCCCCCTGCCCCATGGAGTCCCTGGGCTAGGGTCAGGGGGACAACCTGATGGATGGAGGAGCTGGTTTAGTTCTAAACATACATCTAGCACCACAAACAAGAGATCTCCACTGTACATTATTTCACAAGGGGACATAGACTCAGCTACCAATGCACAGAAACACTTCCTGTGCATGCACAGCTCTCGGAGTGCCAAGGGCAGGACCCAAAAGGTGTGTGGGGGGGATAGACATATACATATACGTATACATATATATATATAACTCTGATTCTTTGTACAAAGTCGGGGAGGAGAAAAGGGAAGGGGGAACCCTGCTTGGTCACCACACAGAGGGTGTGGCTTGAGCCCCCTGTCCCACTGGCCCCCAGCCCTGCCTCCTGAGGGGCTCGGCTGCCTCACATCTCGTTGGAGTACGTGTAGTTGGGAGTGGCAGAATATTGAGTCTGCGGTTGATTCATGGCGCCCTGTGCAGCCCCCATGGCTGCGTTCTGGGCTGCCTGCTGCACGTGTGGGTTCTTCCACGCTCCAGTCGTCCATTCCTCCTGGGCTTTGCTGAAGCTGCCCCCGCTACCCCGGTAGAACTTATGGACCTGCAGAGACAACCGTAGGGAATGGTTAATCAGAGGAAAGTGTGCGGGACACGGTGTTGCATCCTGCAATCCCTAAAGGGGCAGGAGAATCATGATTCAAGAGGCTGTCTCAAAGATAAAAACCAAAGCCAGGAGCCAGGAGCCGTGGTGAGTGGCACATGTCTGTAACCCCAGCCCTTGGCGAGACAAAGGTGTGTTACTCTTCCATACATGTTGAGTCTGAGGCCAGCCTGGGTTTCGAAAGTCCCTATCTCAAAATATAAAAATGAAAAAATGAGCCAGGCAGTGGTGGCGCACGCTTTTAATCCTAGCACTTGGGAGGCCGAGGCAGGTGGATTTCTGAGTTCGAGGCCAGCCTGGTCTACAGAGTGAGTTCCAGGACAGCCAAGGCTATACAGAGAAACCCTGTCTCAAAAACAACAACAACAACAAAAAAAAAAAAAACGGAAAAATGAAACCTGGGCATGATTGTGCACACTTTTAATCCCAGCACTTGGGAGGCAGAGGCAGGTGGATCTGAGTTCAAAGCTAGCCTGGTCTACAGAGAGAGAGTTCCAGGACAGCCAGGCAGGACTACAGAGAAATCCTGTCTCAAAAAGCCAAAAAAAAAAAAATTAAAAAAAAAATGGTGGGCAGCTGTTCAGGAAACAGACGGGGTCCTTTTGTGAAAAATCAGTCTTCAGAGTAAGTAACTCAGAAGACTTCTGTGTTCTGCGTGTGTGCGTGTGCCTGTGTGAGTCCGAGTGCGTGAATGTGTGTGTGTGTGCCTGTGCGAGCATGTGTGCATGTGTGTGTGTGCATGAGTGTGTGTGTGTGTGTGTGTGTGTGACTTCAGGTGTCAGAGGACAATCTTCAGCCTCAGTTCTTGCCTTCCTAGTTTGAGACGAGGTTTCTTGGTTTTCTGCCACTGTGGGCATCAGGCTAGTCGGCCGACAGGTCTCCTGTCTTCGTCCCTCATCTTGACACATAAGTGCTCATAGTGCCTGGCTTTACAGAGGTTCCAGGTATTCAGACTCACAACCTCACATTTACACAGCAAGCCTTTTCACCCACTGGGGGATCTCCCCAGCAGCCCACTTGTGTGTGCTGTATGCAAACACAGAGGGGTTCACTTGCCTGTCTGTGTAGAGGGCAGAGGTCAACTTCAGCTACATTTTCATGGCTCTCTACCTCATGCTCGAGAACGGCCCCCTCTCTCTCTCTGATCTGAAGCCTGCCCTGTCAGCTGAGCTGGCCGGCCCTAAGCCCTGGAATCTGCCTGTTTCTGTTCTGCTCCCGGCTATGGTGTTACAATCCTTTGCCACCACATCAGGCTACTGATTCTGGGAAATCCAAACTCAGGTCCTTACGCTTATGAAGCAAGGATTTTACCCACCGTCTCCTCAGCCTCCTGAGTCCTCCTGTAACCTGGAGGAGGGATGGCTTCAGATCACGGTCCCCTCCCATTGCCACCCCGTCACCCTCGATGTTTACACATACCATGCTAAGGGCAATGAAGGAAAAGACGGCCACCACTGTGAACATGACCGTAGGAATAAGCATCACCACCGCTGAGCCGATGTTCGTCCCGAAGAAGGAGATGGTGGCAATCCAGCCGCTGTAGGAAGAAGCCAGCTGTGGGGCTATGATGTAGGAAGAGGGGACCCAGGAGCCGTCCCAAGGATCATCTCATTGCCACGGGGAGGAGCCACAGAGCGGCCATATTTCTGATACTCCATAGCCTGTGCCCCAGAACTCCTGAGCCAGAAGGCTTTTCCTCCTCAGCTTTCCCATAAACTCTTGATACTCCTTGGCCACGCAGACACCCCTTCCCAGTTCTCCTTCCCCTCTAATCTATGGTGAACACTACTCTACTAGCCCAAAGCCTCTCTTTGTATCCATAACAAGCCATTCAGTGCCCGTAAAAGCCAGGCAAGCAAACAACCCGAGTGCTACTACTCCACCAGCCCAGGTCAGACCTTTGCCTCTTACCAGACACCCCAGCCTGGAATTCCTACAGCCTGGATGATGCTGATGACCAGCTGGGCCATGAAGGTGAAGAAGAAGGCCATGAAGCTGAAGGAGCTGTCTGTCCTGTGGCAGAGAAGATGGTTTGTCACCTGGACAGGGACACTGGGCTTCCCCGCACTCACGAACCCAAAGCTCCTCAGGGCATAGAGGACATGCGAACAACCCAAGTGCTTTAAATGAGACTGTAAAAAGGACGGCCTTCATCCATAGATCTTTAAAGGTTTCCATGAGTTAGGCCTGTGTGCAAGAAAGGGATGTCCCTCATGAAAGGACCACCCACAGCATGTAGATTAATGACCCTACTGGCACAGAGGTAGATGGCTCCATTGTGGGAAAACCAAGCAGCTCTATTATCAAGGAACAGGAACGGGGGTGGGTGGCTCTATAGGCTCAGAAATGGAACATCTCAGCGGCACAGGAAAGAGACCTTACTGACCACAACAGTAGCTAATTGGCACATAATTGGTTAGTCCTGTTGACAAAGAGATTAAAGGCTCTATGGAACTGAAATGTATAGTCTGTTGGCACCAAGACAGCCTTGTTGCTATATGCAGCCCTCATGGCACAAAACCTGAAAATCCCAGTTGGCACTGGATAGGCACTCACTGGCACCAAGACAGCACACCCCATCAATACATAGATAGGCATTCCCTTTGGCACAGAGTTGGATGACATCACTGGCCCCGTAAGTAGTATCAGTGGGTCTTAGAGGGCTGCTTCCACTAACACGTGAATAAAGGGTTTTCTTGGTACCAAAGCAGCCATTCTTCACTGGTACAAGGATGGACAGCTCCACCAAGACAGCCCCATAGGCAAAACTTAACAAGAAGGGGTAGACTGAAGAAGGAAGGAACTAAGAAAGGGTTCACTCCCAACCCTCTCAACCCAGCCAGGAACTCCCAGGAATCCCAAGCTCCATCTGACGGTCCCAGTCAAAGGCCAACAAGGGAAATAGCAGATAAGAGTGTGGAATAGCAGTCAGAGGGAAACGGGTGGGAGCTGGGGTCGGCACCAACCACTTACTTGAAGGCCTTGTAAATGGGCCGGAACCAGCAGACGTAGGAGCAAGGTGTGAAGAGGATAAGCCAGAGAAAGGCCAGGCCAAAGTTGGTGGCTCCCCCGCCTCCGATCAGCCACGCGAGACAGCCCACCAGGTTCACGGCCAGCGTGACGCTGTTCACTGCAGACCCAGGAGCACATGCGCACAGAGATAGACACCAGATACACACACAGACACCAAAGTCCATACGGAGATAGGTAAGTGTCCAGGATTCCATAGAGACTCATAACCAAATACATGACAAGAACATAGACAAGCAGCAAGATATGGACATATATGGACAACATGCACAAATGCAAACACACACACACACAGGAGAGAAAGAAAGGGAGACAGAGAGAGAGAGAGAGAGAGAGAGAGAGAGAGAGAGAGAGAGAGAGAAAGAGAGAGAGAGAGAATGACCCACAAGCCATACCAATGAATACACAAGAAATACATACAAATGCATACAAATACACACACACACACATACACACACACACACACTACAGACTGTAAGAAAGAAAGCTGGGAGCTTGGGTCAACACTTTCCCAATCCGCCCTTAGGAATCTGAGTAATACCAACAACCAAGAGTCTCTAGAGCAAGAACCCAGAGCTTCTGCCCAGCAAGGCCCCTGGAGAGATCTCAAAGCCTCGGGGTCCTGCCCTAGTAAGCAAGGCCTCTAGCGTGTGGGGGGAGGAGTTGGAAGCAGTGTTAGGATTGAGCTTAGCATGCAAGAGGCCAGGATTCTAGCCACAAGACCACAAGTCAGTCCTTGGCCCTCCCAGACCCACAGCAATCACCACCCCAAAGCAAGAAATCATCTTATCTTTTCTTACAAAGCAAGATCAGGAAGTAGAAGGAGAAAAAGACCTAAAAATATCTCTCCGAACCACTAGGCCACCTGCGTGGCACTTCAGTGGGGCAGACAGCAGGGGCTGGAACTCAGTCCTTGTCTAATGCATTTCTCAGACTACTATCTTCCTCCAAGATGTCTTCCTTACCTATGATCTCTTCCTCTGACCTGCAGCTCCCCTGAGTGTACTTCAAACCCATCGTCCAGACTAGCAATTTCTCCATGGTTAGATCCAGACTCCTCTTCCTTCCTCACCTCACCTAGAAGAGCCTAGCACTCATACCACTCAGTCACAGCCAGCAGAGGTCTAAAGATGCTTCATTTTGCAGAAAAGAAACAGATGTTGGTACTAACACACACCTAGGTCCTCAGACCCCAGAGAGCGCTTTCCTTGAACATCAGATGAGTCTCCAAAGACCTGCTAAGTTAACAAAGGAAGGGGGACTCAATCCTGCCCTCAGACAACCACCTCTGCTCCATCTTCTGAATCTCAAGGCTCAGATACATTTTCTTCAGGACCAAAGCACCTGATGGGCACCTAGCAAGGACTTAAGGAGGTATTTATAGCTCTTAAATCCAGCTTCTGAATCAGATCTTCTCATGTGGGTGGGGTTCCAGGAGCCCAGGACCAGGCAGAATGTTCCCCTAACTCTGACTCAGCCTGACTAGGTCACCTCGGCAGCTACACCCGTCTCAGGGCCCTCAAAACAAATATGGATATTTCTTGTGCATTTCTGTTGACTGCTTCAAAGCTTCCTAGAGCTTTGTTGTTCTTACTGATTTTATTTGTTCTGTACAGGAATTTTGTCTGTGTGTCTGTGTCTGCCACGGCGCACACTTGTGGAAGTCAGAGTCAGGTCTCTCCTTCTAAGGAGCAAACCCAGGTTGTTGGAGTTGGTCTGTTGGCCTGGATCTTCCCATGGAAAAGACACTCACTATCTGTTATCATATTGGCTAGCATGGCTCTTCTCAGGCTCACCCGTCTCTAGCTCACTTGCCCTATTATGTATATTGCTATTTTCTCTGTCTTTGGAACGGGCACCCCGACTCAGCCAGAACGTCTCCAGCCATGAGGCATTCTGTCTTTACTCTTCTCCTTGTCCAGCTAACAGCCTGCACGTCTTTGTTATCCTCCCTTTCTTTCTTCTTTTGAAATAGGTTCTCACTGTACGACTCTGGTGGACCTAGAACTTACTAGGCAAACAAGGCTGGCACTGAGCTCACAGAGACCCATATGCCTCTGCCTCCCAAGTGCAGGAATTAAAGGTGTGCATTAACCCAGAATGACCATAACACACGTCTTTGCCTGAGCTGAATGCCCCTAAGAAATAAAGATGTTGCCGTGGGGAAGCCTGAAAGGACTAGAAATTCACAGAGACCAACCTCAGATAACCCTGTGCGTGCCTCAGAGATCTTGGAGGCTGGGTTGAGCATCCTCACCTTCTGCTACAAAGGCAAGGATGCTCACCCCACCTTCAGTCCGCCTCCATATATTTTTTATCATTTATGTGTATGGGTATTCTGCTCGCATGTATATATCTGTGTATGCATGCAATAACTGTAGAGGCCAGAAGAGGGACTAGACCTGGAGTTACAGACAGTTGTGAGCTTCTAGGAATTGAACCCTGGTCCTCTGGAACAATAGACAGCACACTTAACTGCTGACCCAGCTCTCCAGGGTCCTCCTCCTTACTTAATGGGAAAAACAGAAGCCATCAGATATAATTTCGTTTCCCTTCCAATATCTACAGGCTACCCATATCTGTCCAACTTCTCCTCTTCTCACCTTATAGGGCAGGAGATTCTTCTCTACCCATAGGCCAAGGCAGGTCGTGGAACAGTCTGAGTCTGACCCTTTGCTAGTACTGAATACTGTCCCATGACGGGCCTGTTGTAAAGATGGTGATTTTTGTTTGCTTGCTTTTTCATTCTGTCTCTCTGTCTCTCTCTCTTGGTGTGTGTGTGTGTGTGTCCATGGCTGTATTTGCATAGAGCACATGTGGAGGTCAGAGGACAACTTTCAGGAGTCTTTACGTCCACCTTGTTAAGGCATGGTTCCTCTCGTTCCTGCACTTTGTACTCCAAACTCAGCCAGCCTTCCTAGCGTACAGGTGTTTGTTTCCTGTCTCTGTCTCCCACCTTGCCCTGTCCTGGGGTTACAGGTATGTAACACCACATCCAACTTTTTACATGAGTTCCATACAAGTTATCAGGCTTGTGGGCCAAGAGCGTTCACTCCTCCTTCACAAACTGAGATACCCACTAGCCCAAGACAGCCCAAGATCCTCTTGACACAGCTGAGCACAGGTCTGAGTCAAGGCAAGTGTCACCTGTAACAGATGCCAACTGCAGTCACACCACAGACTGTCCTTCTTCACATGCCTAGGCAGTAACTTCTGACTGCCCTGAGCAAAGTCAAGTCTATACACCTCATGACAACACTATTCCTCTAGCCTGTCTCAGACCATGACAAACAGGCACCTCTAAACCCTCATCCTTAAATCCTCAGAGAATTAAAATCCTAGCCACCTGGAACATTAGCTCTCCATGAGCTGTATTCTCTTTCTACAACAGAGACCTGCTGTTTGGGAAGTAGAGCATCCAAACCAGATTCCTTGTCTCTTAACTCCCAGTTGAATGCTCTTCTCTTGGAGAAACACATGAAGGAACACGAGGCTTTAAAGGAAAGGCTCTTCTCCAAATCCAGAATCTTGGCAGTCACCACAGGTTCCCTGGAAAAGTATTCCAGGGGGAAGGGGGTAGAGGAGCAAAAAGAAATAACAGTGCAAAAAGAAACCCTGCTCTGTGAACAAGAGAGAACAAGGAAGGGAAGAAAAGAGAGGCCTACACGAAAGAAACTGAGGCCCAGTTGGCAAGCGGCCTGTGAAAGTGAGCTTGCAGGGGGACCAGCAGGGGGATTTCCCAGGCCATGCAGATGCTACGGTTGGAAAGCAGGGTGTGCAAGCACCCCTCCCCAAGGCCAGCACTTCTCCCTCATCCCCACAGCACTCACACATCCAGAGGTAGTAGAGACGCTTGGTCAAGCTGAGGTGCTGAGGAGGGATGTCTGCCTCAAAGTCTTGGTAGAAACATGGCTTCAGTGGGATGAATTTGGGCAATGGTGGGAAGTTGTTCACTTTCTCTGTGAATGAGACATAGCACTGGGCATCAACTTGGATAATACCCCTGGCCTCCCTTCTTGGTCCTATATGCCCCTCCCCTCCTGGCTGGACTGCCTATAGATCCTATATACTCCTGGCTCTGTGGCCTGGTTGCTCTGCTACCCCCACCCAAATGTCCCTACTTCCTGAATAGGCCATGACGATCCCAAAGAAATCAAAGATACTAAAACAGCATCTATCAAGAGAACACAAAAATAATAAAAGCTGCTATGGGGTGAGGTGTTCTCCCACAAGAGAGAGCAAGTTCTCGGGCATAGGTGAGAGTCTGGAGACGTGGGTTCTGGCCTCTACCTGATCATTAGCCATTTCCTCCACTGCCTCTCTCCAGACCTCAGCTGTTCAGAGGAATGGACCTAGGCTACATGGTCCTTAAAGTTCCCTCCAGCTTTGGCACTGTGTATCTCTGAACCTTTAGAAACCAGAGGAAAAAGTCTCAAAGTACAATAGTAACTCCAGAATGGGACAGATCACCCATGCTGCGATTTGGTCAGCTGGGGGTAAGACAGGGCCATCAAGATGCTCAGCTCAGGTCCCCAAGCTCAAAATCTAACGCAGGGCTAGACGGAGCTATGAAGTTCTCAGACAGACAAGCTAGAGTTGGGGGTTAGGGGGACAAGGGCCAGATACTTTATGCTTTTTTTTTTTCATGTCTACCCTAGCATGGTCCACCTCTCCTTACCCGCCATGATGGACCAGCCAGCTCAGAAAGCCTGCTCACACCTCTTTGTCCAGACCTGGAAGGAAAGAAAAACAAGATGAGAATGAGATCAGAACACTGTCTAACTCAGCTCCCCTCCTCGCTCCAGCTTTGCTTCTCCCTCTCTGAGGCATGACACGCTCCCATCCCCACCGCTCCCATCCCCACCTCGGAATGAACCCAAACACAACAGCCACACCCTTCTATCTGTTTCCACCAAGCTTGGTAGTTTTAAATGTCAACTAGCCACAATCCGGAATCACCTGGGAAGACAGCCTCAACTGACGAGTTGTGTAGATCAGGTTGGTCTATGGGTATGTCTGTGAAAGACAGTCTTGACTGTTGATCGGTGTGGGAAGACCTAGACCACCATTCCCTGGGCAGGTGATCCCGGACTATAGAAATGAAGAAAACTTACTGAACATAGCTGGTAAGCAAGCAGTATCTCTATGTTTCCTTGTCTCTGTTCTTGACTATGGACGGGATATAACTAGCTATTTCTGTTCCTGCCTCGACTTCCCCCTCAGTGATAGACTATAACCTGGACCTATAAGTCTAACAAACTCTTCCCTCCCCTAAGTCACTTTTGACCAGCGTATTTTGTTTTGTTGTTTTATTTTGAGACAGGGTCTTACTATGCAGCCCTGGTTGGCCTGGTACCCACTATATAAACCAGGCTGGTCTTGAACTCACAGAGAGCACCTGCCTCTGTCTCCTGAATAGGGAGATTAAAGGCATGCACCATCAACCCCAGTTGGTCAGGGTCTTTTATAACAGCGACAGAAATAAAACTAGAACCACTGTTTGCCTCGAGGCACAAAGTCTATCCTCAGAAAACCCCACTCAGGGATAACTATCGCGATAACTCAGATGGATAAAAGCGGCATATGTCTGATGACTTTAGTTAGATCCCTAGAACCCATAGTGAAAGAAGAGAACTGGCACCCAGAACTTGTCCTCTGGTCACATGTGACACCAACCATAGTAAATAAAAAAGTGAACAAATAAACAGAAAGAAAAGTCACAGAAGGTAGGCAAGGGCATTCCATCCTCTGCCCCGCACAGACTAAGCCACCCTTCTTCCTGCCGTGTGTTCACTTATTAGAACTTCATTATCCAGGCAGACACCCTTGATCCCAGTGCTTGGGAGGTAGAGGCAGGCAGATCTCTGTGAGTTCAAGCCCAGCCTGGTCTACAGAGTGAGTTCCCGGTCAGCCAGGTGCTACACAGAGAAACCCTGTCTAAAAAAAAAAAAAAAAAAAAAAAAAAAAAACAAAAAACAAAAACAAAAAAACAATGACCCCATTTCTTTCTCTTCCAGACACCAAAGAAAGAAACTGAGCAAGACAGATATGCCTCTGCCCTGCACATGAGGCAGCCCACAGCCCCTGCTGTCAGTCACATGGGAGAAACAAGCCTGCTGTGCTGGTTCATACTTGCAGCCCTACCCTAGTACTTTTGAGGCTGGCGCAGGCTCGAAACCAGCCTGGGCCACCATAGTGAGACTGGGATTCCTAAGACTAAAAAGAGACCTGGAGGTGGATCTGCAGAATAAAAAGAAGAAAGCCAGACTCCCAGTCGCTTAGCCCAGCAGGCAGATGATGATGGCCTAAGACCAGAACATGGGTGAGAAGTGGTCCAGGGTCCAGGGAGGACAGGCTGTATCACGGCCATGGTGGAAAGACTGGCAGGCAGGGCTTCGTGCCAGCATTTGGAGTATATGAGGTCAGAAACTGAGCAGAACCTGCCTGGCACGTGCATTACGTCATCAGTTAAGAGACATCATCAGTTAGAGAGAATCTCTTCTGTACTGTGTGGAAGCATCACTTGTCAATAAAAACCTGATGGCCAATGAGCTGAGGCAGGATTAGAAGGTGGGACATCTGGCAGAGAGAGGAATTCTGGGAGAGAGTCAAGCATGGGAAAAGAATCCCCACCCAGACTCGAAGATGGTGGACTGAGTCGTGTGGAAGACACAGGATAGTATAAATGGGTTGATGTACGTTACAAGCTCGTTGTGGAAGAGACCTAGGCATTTATTCATAAATAATAAGTCACTAAGTAATTATTCAGGAACTGGGGTAGAAAAGCCCACACATCCGTAATGCTAAGGAAGCCATTGTGCAATCATCAGCTAAAGCAGCACGCTAAGTGAACACGTATGTAATCAAGACCAAAAAAATGGTCTAGGTCAAGTGCAATGACAACCAGCATTTTCTAAGATTGGCTGATAAAAAAGTTTCGTTTTTAAGCAAAACCAACCTATGATGTCAAAAATGAGGACACATTCTGCAAGATAGCTCAGTGGATAAAAGCTACCACCGAGACTGACTACGGAGCAAGTGTTAGCGGCAAATCCATCAGAGCAGACACAAGGCATCCTCACTGTCCTTTTAACTTCTGAGTGGTGTGAAAGTTTCTAAATAACATGTTAGAGGCAAATACGAATCATGTCAGTAATGGGTCACAAAACACTGGAAAAGGTGTCACCTGGCCGAGTGCACATACGCCTTCCGTGATCGCAGCACTTGAGATGCTGAGGCGTGAGGAGCACATGGTGAAAGGCAGCTTAGGATACAGGGCTTGATGGAAGGGAATAAAGGGGCCTTGGATAGAGCCAGTGGTAGATGACAGGATTAGAATGTACAGGCTTGAGCAGGCAGGATGGCTTAATGGGTAAAGTGTCTGAGACCAGGCCTGAGGACCTCCTGAGTTCAATCTCTAGACCCCACATAGTGGAAGGAAGGAAATGACTCCCACAGATTGTTCTCGAACTTCCACAAGTATTCCATGAGGCTTGTATGCCTATGTGCATGCACGCACATTAATTTAAAAATTAAAAGGGGGAGGGGCTGGAGAGATGGCTCCGTGGTTAGGAGCACTGGCTTCTCTTGCAGAAAACTCAGGTTTGGTTCCAAGCACAGACATTATAGCTCAAAACTGTCCGTAACTCCAATTCCAAGGGACTCGCTGTCCTCTTCTGACCTCTGTAGAAACCAGGCAGGCATATGGTACCCAGTACATACACATACATACACATACACAAACAAACACACAAACACACACACATATGCAAGCCCACAAACTAAATCTTTCTTTAAAATAGAAAGAAAGGTCGATAGGTAGGTAGGTAGGTAGGTAGGTAGATAGATAGATACGTAGGTAGACAGACAGACAGACAGACAGACAGACAGACAGAATGTACAAGGCCCTAGGTCTATTCATCAGCACTTAAAAAAAAAAAAGTGTGTGGGAGCAAAGTCCCTTTTCATTATTTTTAATGTGTATTATTTTATGTGTCAATGTTTTGCCTGAACATACGTCTATGCACCACATGTGAGCAGTATCAGAAAAGGTCACTGGATCCCCTGAGACTAGAGTTATGGATGGTTACACCACCTCGTGGGACTGTAATGGCCAAGAATTATGGAAGAATGGTGGTGGGAGCTTCAACCTCAGATACATCAGACATGAGAGAGCAGGAGCTGGCTACCTCTCCCATCCCAACCCAGAGCCAGCACCCTGAGCATGAACCAAACCAGATCCAGCCCCCCCCCAGCATCAACCCAACCCAGAGCCAGCACCCCAAGCATCAACCCAACCCAGAGCCAGCACCCCGAGCATCAACCCAACCCAGAGCCAGCACCCCGAGCATCAACCCAACCCAGAACCAGCACCCTGAGCATCAACCCAACCCAGAGCCAGCACCCCGAGCATCAACCCAACCTAGAGCTAGCACCCTGAGCATCAACCCTAGCAGGAATTAATGACCTTGACAGCTACCAAGCTTCATTGCTTGTTTGACCTTCTAAGGTTCCCCACCACCACGCTATAGCTTCTGAGTATGTAGATGAAGCATCTTCGAACACCTCTTCCCTGGCCAATGGTACACAGCAACACAAATCTTGCCCCAGAGACCCAGGACACCTCCCCAGGGGCATGAATACCCTTTTCCACCCAATAAACCAAACCAGTTCCCTGAAGCTGTTCCCAGCTGCGTTCTTTACCCTCACTACATTCTTTACTTGTGGCTGACATCCTGCACCCCAATGGGCCTGGCTATCTGAGGGGGGAAGTGGACACGGGCAACACTACCATGTGGATGCTGAGAATCGAACCCAGGTCCTCTGGAAGGTCAGCCAGTGCTATTACCCCTGAATCATTACAAAGTTCTTTTGATAAAGCAGAAGAAATGACTGAATTTTTAAAACTCACTGTTCTGGGCTAGAGATATCACTCAGTGGCTTTCTGTACAAACATGAGAGACCTAACTTGAATCCCCAGTACCTAAATAAAAAGCTGGATATGGCTATATGCACCTGTAACCCATTGCTGTTGGCATCAAAAGATACAAGAATCAGTGGGGTTTGCCAGCCAGCCTAGCCAAAGCCCAGAAAGTTTCAGGTGGGACATCGTGTCTTGAGGGATTACGGTGGAGAATGCTAGATCAGGATGTCTGACATCCTCCTCTGGCCTCTGGGTAAACTCACATGGGCACACACATTCACACACACATGGGAAGGACACACACACACCACTGCAACACACACACCACATACACACACCAATATATCACACACACACTAATGTAACACACAGACACACACATACACACCTCTACTCTGCCATCCCTGCATAACAACAACAGATACAGGCAGAGATTACTTGGCTACTAAAGCCACTGGGAGAAGGTTGCTATGGAGAAGCAACAGTGTGAGTGTCACATTTTAGAGCGCTTATTAATTCTGAGAGAGAAAAGATATCTCTACAGTGAAAGAATCTGGCAGACCAAATGATTAAACTTAGCATTTGTGGTAACAGAATGCACAATGTATTCTCAGAAGGACAATGTATTCACAGGAGGACACACAATCATCGGTGTAATATTGTTGCCAAAAAATGTTAAATCTGAAAGTAAGTATGAGCAGAGCATGATCAAGCATGCCCATAGTGCCGGCAAAAGAGACAGAAGCACCAGGATCAGGAGTTCAAGACCAAGGTGAATTACCAAAGGCCCCATCTCACAAAGAAGGGTGG